TCGTAGATACATCACACCGATTGACTTGAAATATCTCTTCTTTGTTCCATTCTTCATACTTTACTCGATTTCCTCTTTGACACAAAAATAGCTTTTTGGATATACGTTTATTCATTTCTATCTTCTTTTCGTTCACTCGTTTGATTTCGATAGCTTCCCTGAATCTGTTTTTAACATGTATTCTGTTTTTTAAAATTTTTCTTTAGTTACCAACACCTATTATATTCAACACGATTTACACAGACGAGAAAGAAAGATCTCTCGCGAGGAAAGATCCGGCGAGTGTCGGGAGAAATGTGGGCGGTGGAACGCCGACGAGCCTTCCTTTTGGGGTTGGTTCTCATTTTTTGTCCATTTTTCCCTCGTTTCTCCCCATCGAAGAGTAGGATTCAATCACCCGCGATGACGCTTCGTAGACATTCTTACGTCTGCACTGTGCTCGGCGCTTTACGTTTGGGCGAATCGTTCCTTTTGCTTCTTAACGAAGTCGATAGCCACTTTGTCGCCGGCCCTCGTCTCCAGAATTTGAAGAATCGGGTGATCTAAAACAAAAATGAAATCGGATTGATTATTACCTAACACGAAATTGCAAGAAAATTTTCAATGATATTAACTTTTCCGTTGATATTAAAAATGAAAACTTTTTTTCTGTTAAAAAATGTCTTAACACTTAACCGACCGATGGTTAAGGAAGACAATTTTCGTTGACGCCTGACGATATTTTGTAAGTTTGCAGAAAAAGGAGATAAACTATGAATTCTGCTAGCATATGATCTTTCCCAGGAAAAATATATAAATTTATAAGGAAATTAATAATTGTTATGGTTAATGCCTTAGAAATTATTTTTATCTACAACAAAGTCTGAATAGATATTTTTCCTTTTGAACTTTAAGCAGAAGAGAACTGCATTAATTCTTGTAATTGACGATTTAACGGGACTTTTGAAATGAAGATGTATTACATTTTGTTAAAATGAATTTTCTGAACTTACTTCGATTCTTTTGGTGCATAAGGGGTAATTCGGTCGGCTTGAGGCCGTGGAAATTGTCAATGCTGGCGTTTGTGTCCGCTACGCCTGGTATCGTGCTGAGCCCCAAGAATGCTTCGCCCGCAAAGTCATTCGATTTGATGACGTCGTGGTCCATTACGGTAAAGAGTACCATGGCGTCTGGACTTTGACACTGTCCCACTTTTACAGAGCTGCAATAAATATTGTGTTCTTTTATTCTGTGCGACGTTATATTATATTGTATTTATTGTATTGCGTTATAAGAGACAAAACACTAAGGAGGACCATTTGCGACATATTTTCCATAAATTATATAAAAGTATTACTTTTATCCTCAGAAAAATTTATTTCGTTTCTATTGTGAACTATTATTTTGTATAATGTTATATCATATCATATTCTTTACATTCTACTGGATTAATTGTACTATGCTAGAAGAAAAGAGAAACTGCAGAGAGCAGCATGGGCTATATTTTTCACAAGGTGTATACAAATATTAATTCTTTTACCATCAGAAGAATTTCTCGCGTTTCTATCGTAGTGTTTCCATTCAGTATAATTACTTAAAATAAAATTAAGGATGTACATCTGAAGATAAACTCACAATTCGAAGCTTTCTCCAAATATCGGATTTAATGTCTTCTTCCTTACGTTGGTCTGCTGTTCGGCGCAGTGTTCAAACACTCTTCGTGGTAAAAGCTCGATTATTACAAACGGATCGCTGAAACCGTTCGGATCTAAGGGTATAACATCTCTGGCATTTTTAACTTCCACCCAGAGTGAATCGTGATTCAAATATGCCATCACTGTTAGTACACCGTACTCTGTGGATACGGTGTTCAATTGGTCCTGAAAGAAGCACATTCAATTAGAATATTATTTCCTACTTTAGAACTACACTACAAGATTAAAAAGAACATGAATATGTTTATAAATCAACAGTACTGTGAAAAGATGAAATCTATTTTAGTTAAAACCTTAATTTGACATTAAAAACGAAGTTCAGGTCTAAACCTTAGTCTGATATTAAAAAAGAAGTTCATATAATAATGAGCAATTATTGGAAGTTTTTAATCAACAATATAAATCAAGAAACTTCACTTAAATTGCATCTATGTTTAAAAGGAATACCAATTGTAATTATTTCTGAAAATAATTGTAATTAATAGGATTAACAGAAATAATTCCCAATATGAAAATTGATTTGAGAATAAGAACCTGAAGTCGTTGTCGATAAAACCGATCAATCAAGAATGATGTGTCCATCTTGTGATACTGTAAGCGTTCCTCGGCGTTCATGAAACTCTGAGAATGAAGCGTATCGTACGGAAGACCCTTTTCATCCGCATGGAAGAATTTCAACAGCAAATCCAAGGCTTCGTGGAGTCTTTCATAGAACATTGCAGGTTTATCCTAAACAAAAATAATTATTATCAAATATTTATTATAATATGTATCAAAAATATTTATTATCAAAAATTTAGTATAGTATTTCTTACAAATATTTATTATCAAATATTTATTATAATATTCATTGGAAATATTTATTACTAAAAGTTTATTATAATATTCATTGAAAATATGTATTATCAAATATTTATTTTAGTTTTCATTAAAAATATTTATGATGAAACATTTATTACAATATGCATTAAAAAAGTTTATTATACATTATTAAACATGAAGCCAATATAAATTAATAAATGTTCACTTACTCCAGCGTTACCATCCATTTGATTGCTCAATTCTCCCAAAACAACTTCCCAGATGTCTTGGAGAACTCGAAGGAAGTTCACTGAAAGTAAAGCCGAATTAAGTATCACCAAATGGCTATCCAAATATTCTAATAACTTCGCGATGGCTTCCGAAGTAGGCAAACTGTCTGGAGACCAAGCCAAATGAAATATCGCGTTTTTCAATGGTGGTCTCATCTGTAATGCAAATAGAAACCGTATTAGTCATTTCTCGAAAAGAACTTTCTAAATTTATATTCCTTTTATTATTGATTAATGGTAACTTTTGATTCACATAAAATTAACAAATTGTTTACATTTCATAAGAGAAACAAAAATCAATTAATTTTAAATCCAATGGACAGTGGATTAATAATAAATTCATTTGAAGAAATATGTGAATCAGATAAAGTTAAAATGCTTTTTTAAATAAATTATAGGTAAATAATATAATAGAAACTACTTATACGATTTTAATTATTTATTTTAACAAATCGTTAATATCTACGAAAAAACTGGATATTTTCACATTTTTTAGTATAACTAACCTTCATGCCAATCCTTGAAATGATTTGATTGATGAAGAGTAACATTTGTCCTGGAGTTTGATCCAGGGGAGACATCAGAGCAGTTCGCCACTGCATCCGAGCAGAGTCACCCGCTTGATTCTCCAATGCTGTTAGAACCTTCTCAACGTAAAGTTCCTCGCCTAAATCCAATAGCCATCTTCGGACATACTCGAGGCCATTGATGGCCACACACATCTGTTGAATGAAATTGCAACATTGTAGAAAGATGCTAGGTAATTGATAGCTATAAAGCGCTTTATGAAAACATCTTTTTATTTTTTTTACTTTTATGTCGATCTTATTCTATTCAATTTTATTTAATCGCTAATGAAATATATTTGTTAAAAATAAATTACATTTCAGAAAATACGTTACAATTAAAAAGAAATCATATTTAAAGTTTAATATCGCTGTAGTAAGTATAAAGGTCAATCGAAAATAATCATTCAGACTTGTTAATATCATAGAAGCACATTCTCTGCTTCTATAAAATTATTTACTTTATCTTAAAAATTAACTGAATTCTTGTGGTAATGAATGATTCTAGAATTGAAGTGTCAAAACCACAAAACGATAAATGTTACGATTAATCTTGAGTCACGCAATTAGTAACAAATGTTTTCACACTCGCTAGATAAACACTCAATACATTAAACACCAATAACTTCTCATGGTGTCCATGAGTCTTTACTAAATGGCAGTGGTCAACGAATATCTTGCTTCTTCGTTGAAATAATAACATTTGGTGTATCATTATTATGGCTACAATTTAGCACTGTGTCGGTTGCTTCTAAAAAAGCACACCTGAAGGAAAAAAGTAATTTTGAACAGTTTCACATGTATCGCTATATTTGAATTGCCTTGCCTGCCGTAATCCGCGTTTATAAGATGCTCTATGCTGCGAATCATTCATTTGCATCATTCCCATAGTCAGTCGCATCTACGATCTTATTTTGTCAAGCGCAGTGCAATGTTCAAGCGAACTTAAAAAAAAGTATCATCCATTTCCGTGATAAAATTTTCCGCGTACACCTACAGCTAGTTTGCGAAGCAGTGTTGTATCATACATATGCAAAGCGGTCCCAACCTCAGCGATTACCTCGTCAGTGGTCTTATACGGGTTCTGATCTTTGTAATAACCACTGTCAGCTAGCTTCTGATGAGTGATCTCCGCGTAGTACGCCGCTGAACTGCATATGGCCTGTAGAAATTTAAATTAAAAACATAGATATTCAAAATTTGAATTAAAAACATGCACATTCAAAATTTAAATTTGTAGCGTAGATATTCAATATTTGACTTAAAAACATAGATAATCAAAATTTGAGTGACAAATATACGTAATCGAAATTTGAATTAAAAACATAGATACTTAAAATTTAAATTAAAGGCATAGATAATCAATATTTGATTTAAAAACATAGATAATCAAAATTTATCAAGGTGTATCTTTTAAACAACGTTCCAGTATATCTTAATAATTAAATAATTTTAAATAAAAATTTGTCAGATTGTATTTTTCGAACAGTCTTCATGGTGTTTGTATTTCTACAATTCTCTTTGTGTGAATATTATTCTGTTGAATATAGTTTTGCTTAATTTTATAATGTTAGTCATTTGTTTTAACATACAAAAATTTAGATATATTCACTTGGTTTTGATATACTTACAAGATAACATTTTTTATCCTGCCTTTAATATTTTAATGAATATAACAAAACAAACTACTCACGTCAACAACTTTTAGTACCAAATTGTAAGATCCCGGAAGATCTGGCCACGCCAACTTTTTCCAGAATTCTTTGATCTGAAAGTATTAATTATAGTATAAAATTTCAATGAATTATCACGATTATCGTTAATAAATGCATTTTTCACTTTATACCTGATAGAAACACGCTGTAACATCTATCGCCGACGTGCAGTGTTTCACTATGTATTCGCCAGTGCACATTCGATCAAGTTCAGCCGACTTCCGTACACGTTGGATCGCTTTTAATTTAGCTAGGTCTAACCATTTGTCAACAGCTGGTCTGAACAATTCGTAATACTTGCAAATGGCCAAACTTTTGTGGTCAGATTGCGGCAGATTTTCCTTCATTCTAGAAGTAAGGGTTCTGTTTTAATCGTCCATAACATTATCTTCTAATTAAAATGCAAAAATATGAGAAGCTTAAATAATTGTGTAGCAGGAGAGAAATTAAAATGAATTTATCAACAAATATAAGTTTATCAAAACTGTACTGGTACCAATATTGAATACACACGAATCAGTATGAAATTATATTTCACTTAGTAACCAATAATTATACTAATTCATGATTCAAAATAAATTAAATAACTAATGTTGGATCAATTTTATTTCGGTATGTACTCGCTCTTTCAATACGCTGTTTCGATACGCAATGCTTTATGTCGCCTCCCTCGCTCCATTTATATATTCGCGTACTATCATCTCACTCGCACAACTTTCAGAACATTCTTTCGTCACCATCCATTAACTTCATGTATATTTGAAATATTGTGATTCATTAAGTTAAGTATCGTTAATATGTTAAAATCAATGATTTAGACAATCAATATATTGCAAACGTCATGAACATTCACACGCACACGCACAGCTGCTGTTCATCTATTGCACACATGTTCATTCGTACATCCATTCCTATATTCGGTTCTCACTTGCTCTACCACACGTATTCTCACTCACTCTACACTAGTATAATACAGTAACAAGTAAATTTCTCAGATCCAGATGCTACGATATTTTATACACCAATAAAAATGAAATGAAAGAAACAGAAGCAACAAATTCATAATATAATAATGGAATTAATAATTACATTACGAAATCTTGCAAAGCCAGGTACAGTTCAAACATCGGAGTTCCTATTTCCGCACCCGGTGGTAATACATACTCTTCGTCCGCGTTCTGACCGTGAAGTTGAAGACAGGCGGTTGTGACTCTTGCCCCGAGCTCATTTTGCATCTACCAATCACAGTTATTTTTTGAATCGATCAGATATTATTTAATTTCTTGGTACCTCTACAAACGCTTTACAAATTACTTGCATGAAGATTCGATTTTACGGAAGATTTAATACTGCAGAAATTTTGAGTGTCAGGATTTTTGTGATTGCGGTAGATACTGAAAAATTCTCGAATTGAACAGGCAGTGAGTAAAATGGATCTCTTAGGAGAATATAACATTCTAAGAGCAGATTATAACAAACAGTGGGATGAAAGTTGGTACTTGAAGTTTTAGAACTTTAGTCAACATCCAGTGTGTTTCTCGTCACGGTATTTATTCTTAACCCTTACAATTAGAGCACCAACATCGCTGTGAGTGACGCTGAAAATTTGTCTAAAATTTTTTTAATTTCTGCAAATAACACGGCCATCAAAAGATGAAAATCTTTACTATACCTTGCAAACGTTATGAAATATGAAATAAGAAATGTTTGAAGGACTATTTCGTTTTTATTAAAATGTACAAAATGTCGAAAACGTGTAACAAAAATTCAAATGTTCACAAAAATTGATTTCGTTTCGTTGAAAAAATAACAAGATGAAACATTCAGTATTTCAATGAATATACAACCAGTTGTATAACATGTTATTAATAATCTACTGGAACACGGTATTCTTTATTATCCTTTATAATTATTAATTATCTTTTCTTTCTAAATTTCCTTATATCTTAAGACATCCACGCGATAATACCTTCTTTTAAAGTGTCATCGCATATTATAACAAGAAAAATGCGCCAATTTTACAAAATGAATAATAGATCTACATACGTGATTGAACAAAATGTATTATATGGCAAATGTACAGTGAAGTGCATCAAACCATTTATCTGGATAATATTCATTTCCATCTATTAATTTTAGCGTCAAAATGATTTTTCGCAATATTTACTTATTCTTCCTTCAAAAGATTACGTCAGCTAAACTACTTCGAATTCTATTGTAACTATGTAACAGTATATACTTAAAGGTTAATATTTTTTAAATATAACAAGAAATTTTGAATAAAAATTTTGTATGAAAAATGGACTCTTAGACAACACCCTCTTGACACATTTAACCCGGCTTTGCTGTTTAACAGTAAATCTGCAATAACTCGGCATAGTTAGCGAACGTTACTGAAACGAGGAACACACTGAATGTTTAGCAACTTTTCAAACTCCACTTGCACCATGGCAACTCGTTTACAGAGCGATATTCGACTAGAGGCTCCTGCTTTTCCACGCCGCGATGCGACGCGTCTACGGCAACATAAGGATTTCCTGCTACCCCGGTGGGAAAAATTACGGAAGAGATGTGGATAAAATTGCAAAATTTCTGTTGAACGCGCTGCGAACTTCGTGATTGCGCCGAAGTTTGAAATTGGCACGAAAACTTGGGCAAAAGCAGTAAACACTGCCTAGGGGAAAAATGATTCACGTCTTGAGAGGAACATTTAATAGGCAATGGCGAATGGTTGGCTACTGGAAGGTTACTCAAAAACTTTTTGTCAAATTTGCATATTACGTTTTACACTTAAAACTTTCAAAACATTTTTTCTATTTTCATAACTATTATTTGTAGCCTTGGAGTAAATAATATAAAGGACTTTGTTTTTAATATTAGAATTATCTGAGTAGTTAAAATAAATTTCGATGTTCTTATTTTCTACATCATTAAATTCATTGTTTAAGTTAATCATTCATTTATGAAGATTTGAAGACATTACTAGTTGTTTGTATAATTTGTATAGCAAAAGACAGTTGAGTAATTATATCTTTCCCTTTATTAGTTATGTACTTTATTTATGTAATTAAACTTTGCGAGAAATTGTCTATATGTTTAAAGGTATGAGATAAATTCATAAATGGAATACGTATTCATTTATATAATAATTAAAATATTTCTTTATACTGTTTTTAGAGTATTCGGGGAGGAGGTAAATTTCTTCAAGATAAATTGGACAATAATGGGCGTGAATTCATTCTGTAATTCAATCTAATTTAGTGGGTCAGTATGTTTAGTAAAAGGTAAACAACGAAAAGCAACGGATAAAGAGGGCAGAACGATTAAAAAACTTAAATAGCTTCATTATTTTTAAATATAAATTAAATAAAATATATTAGTTAACATAAACATTGGAGAAGCTTAATATTTTCTACATAAAAATTCAACCAAAAATTCGATTTATATACAGAACATTATTGAGAATTAAAAATTTATATGAACTAATAACTTTTTAAAAAAAATCCAATAGAAAATCTTATTCATATAAAGAAGTCAGCTAAAATTACCTATGAGATGACTTCAAGAACAAATTTAATTATTTCTCTACAATTTTCTATAAATTATTCAGAGGACGAGGGAAACCAGAAACTATTAATGCGTCACATGCCGAACAGCCCAGCGTGTACATGTTCAGGTTCAACGAGTTTTCGGCGAGTTTTCGTAATTTTGCCAAATTACGTGGAAGTTCCATAAGGAACGTGTGATGTGTCGTCGATATACATCGGAGTCTACGTGATATGTGCACAGCTAAAAACAAGGGGCTGACAATGAAAAGCAGATCCATGCATTGCTATAGCTCATAACGTTCTCAGTGTACCGTAAAAGGATTCAACGAAAAATTCTATCCTATTCGAACAGCATGTTCATGTCAACAAGCAAATATGAATAAAATTGGAAAATAGCTTCTCATGGAAGGTCGATGACCAATTCCGTGTGAGTAGGAAAATTTGACTTTTCATTTCATGTAAATATAAATAAAATCTGCATGGGTAATCAGAATTGCATTTTCTTTGGTGCAATGTCACGTTTTTCAGTGTCATTCAATTATGTGACGTCTTTGCAATTTTGCAACAATTTAAAAGGAAATTAAATTTTGCAAGAGATATGTGTATTCATTCCAAAATAAGTTTCAACTGAAGGAGGATCTATACATTTAAATTCCTGATAATAATGCATTTGAAAAAAATACATTTTTTAATGCATTTCAACTATTTTCTAATTTATTATAGATTCACTTATATTAAATGTTTATACGTATATCGAAACGTTGTTACGTCCTTCAGCTATGTACAACTTCAAAAACGGAAGATAATAACATGCAAATGCTTTATTACATTACTGTTTATTTTGTGATCGTCTATGAAAGCTCAAAGAAAATTTCCAAAACTAGATCGAAAGCTTCTAGAAATCAAGCGTCGAGATATACGCTCTCGTGTAACGTCAGCAATTGTGTACTGTTAAAATCGGAGTTCATCTACTTTCCAAAGTTAAACCTCTAAATGGGTACAATTCCAGAAACTCCAGACTCTCAGTAATTCCGAACTCGAGGGGGACCGATATTTACAAGAAATCGCTGATCTAAAACATTTTCAAAAGACTACTATCTAATCAATGACGCTCCATTTTATTTGCGTTTATTATATTTTGCATTTTTATTATATTTTACCAGATATTTCAAACGATCGTTGATATCATATTCTTCTGATTCTCTATTCTTTCACCTGTTTAATGTAACGAGGAGAAATGTACGCAAATAAATGCGAGGCGTCGCGATGTGACAGTTCAAGTGATCACATACAAAAGGAGATTGAAGAAGAAAGAAGACAGAGAGAAAAAAATGGGGCTTAACATTTCGTTGTGGCGATGAAAAAGTACCTCGGAAGTGTTCTCCATGTGTTTCGCCACGTGTTCCGCCAGCTATGGACAAACATCTTGTGTACAGTAAGATCGCGATGACCTGACTGACATATCAAACTTCGGATTTCTGTTTAATTTAGCCCTCAGGTCACTGCGATTTGTTTATTTACAGGGTGTCCCTAGACAGTTTTTTTTCTTAATGTAATATAACGAATAAAGTAATTTTAATTTTATAAAATTTAAGTATAATGTAATAATATAATATAATATTATTAATTACAAAGTTATTAAGTATAATTAATGTAATGTTAAGTATAAATATCACATTTTCAGTTTAATAAAATTTAAAAAGGTGATATAAACAGCGATTAATCGTAATTACTGGTAATTAAATGTATTAATAATTGGTCTATGCAATGTGGCTGAACACGGAACACCCTATATATAAAGAGTAATATGTTTTTGCAGTTATTTCGATGCAAGAACGTCGACCGGATTCGCAAATGGTGTGAAAAGTTACTTGTAAAAGTAGGAATAATTATTAAATACGCTAAATAATAATTATTGCATTACGTTCACAATAGCCTGTTTAGATTTGAAATATGTATAAAGGGAACAGTTAATCGTTGGATCTTCGAAATGATTGTTTTTGATTAGTTATTAAGAAATTTCTCTTTTATTTGAAAAAAAACACGATCGACGTCTTGAATGAAGCATATAAGCCAAACATAGCACATCCAGCTTTACGAAACAGAGAATAAAATATAGTCATGTGTTATATGATTGTGTGCTTTGATTTTGCATTATCGCGCGGACTATAAAGTGAGTATCTTGTATCTCTCGTTTACTCTGTCAATTGTCAGACCGCTTAACGCGTTCAATTGCTTACCAGCTTGTCCAGTTTTTTATACACCGCCGCGAAATATGGCACGCCGTTCGTGCTGAAACATAATATATCTTATGTTGGTAAATCATGAACAACACGATTAGTTTTGCAAATGCACGTAATCCGTACGAAAGCTTGCATAACATTATGAAATATTGTTTGTTGGGTATTCTTTGCACAGTTTTTTAAAAAGGAAAAACATAATATCTATAATTATTCTTTATAATCATGTTTGTCCTGTTTAAAGTAATATTCATAATCTATCATTTATTTATTGGAACTTAAGAAGATAGTAATAAATTCTGTATAAAGTTAACTACATAATTTGTCAATGTCATTGGTGTTTTGTTTGATAATAATGTTTATTATAGTGTTTACTTAATTATAATATATTAATAGATTAATATCAGTTTTGTATAAATTAGTTTAATCTAATTGAATTGTTCCATACCCTTTTTTTCTACTAGTATACATATTTTAAAATGAAAAATTGTGCAATTTAGAAAAAGAGAAAATTACGACAATGATATTAAATTTATAATTTGAGGAAAGTAGATTTAGTTTGACAGTATGATTAATGAAACTGTATCTATTTAATAAGTTACAAAAATTATATTATCGCTATAGAATGCAGGACTAAAGTAAAAAGTTTAATTGGCAGACTCCAAAGCACTCACCTTTCAAAGAGACTGTTATAATAAGTCAGTCCTTGCTCCAGGTCTACCAGTAAAGCGGTTACCAAGTTTGTAAAGTCCTGTAAGACTTTATCTGCATCCTGATCTGGCTCCTTATCATAACACATTATTTGCAGCCTCATATCTTCATACCTAGCAAGCCATTAATTATTATTAACTAACACGTGTTATTTTTGAAATAGAAATAACACTGATTCTTTTTGTAAATTTTACGAAGTAATAAGATCGTCGCTATTTAATGAATATTAATAAATTTATTAAGTATGAATACGATATTAATTTATTTGAATTTATCACCAACCAATCGTGAGTTCCATTTCTTAAGGCAGTAATAATTTCTCCACGAATTTCTTTGTTGAAAGGACAACACGACCGGAAGGCTTTCATGTTCGATAACAATCCTAAACACCTGTAAGAAACAAACACGAACATATATACATAGATTAAATTTACATCGTTTAATCCGCTATTAATTTTGGAGATACAATTTATTATATGCCAATTACCGTATCAATCTTTATTCAAAATTTAAATATGTTTAAAAAATATTATACGTATATACAACTATAAAATAAAAGTAGAAAATAGAAATTTGCTTATGATTCTGTATTAACTGATAACTGATAATTCACATTTTGATTTCGATATAGGATAATCCATCAAAGTTTATTCTTCGTTGAAATGAAATCAAAATTAAATACCCAGTGCAAGAATATATGTTTATTTAAACAGCATTTTAGAAAGAGAAAGAAAAGTATTTTAAAATTTCTACAGTGAACGACTAAAGGACTGTATTTGTACCGTCACAGATCCGGCTCGAAGGATCAACAAATGTGGCGTAGTAGATCCGGCTCGAGAAACCGAAAAATGCGACGTCGCACGTACACGAATACTAACGCGGATTAAATTCCTCGGCTGGGGTTGTAAATCCCAGCTTTAACTTTAG